GATCAGTTTCTGTGCTCCATCTGTCTGGATGTGTTCACTGATCCAGTCACCATACCATGTGGACACAACTTCTGTAAAACCTGCATCACTGAACACTGGAATATCAATGTCCAGTGTCAGTGTCCCAACTGTAACAAGGTTTTCTACACAAGACCTGAGCTGAAGGTCAATACTTTATTCTCTGAGATGGCTGCTCAGTTCAGACAGTCAGCTCAACAGAAAGCCAGCAGCAGCAGCTCAGAGCAACAAGTTTCTGAAACAGGAGAAGTTCCCTGTGACGTCTGCACTGGAACCAAACTGAAGGCCCTGAAGTCCTGCCTGGTGTGTCTGGCCTCCTACTGTGAGACTCACCTGGAGCCTCATCTGACAATGTCAGGCCTGAAAAGACATCAGCTGATCGACCCTGTGGAGAACCTGGAAGGCAGGATGTGTACGAAGCACGATAAACTGCTGGAGCTGTTCTGTAAGACCGACCAGATGTGTGTCTGCATGCTCTGCACTGTTTTCGACCACAAGACACATGATGTTGTTCCTCTGAAAGAAGAATATGAAGGAAAGAAGGCCGAGCTGGGGAAGACAGAGGCTGAAATTCAGCAGATGATCCAGAAGAGACAACTGAAGGTTCAGGAGATCAAACGCTCAGTGGAGCTCAGTAAGGAAGGTGCAGACAGAGAGATAGCAGATGGTGTTCAGGTCTTCACCGCTCTGAAGGAGTCTGTTGAGAGAAGCCAGGCCGAGCTCATCGACACGATCAAAGAGAAGCAGAGAAAGACAGAGAAACAGGCTGAAGACTTCATCAAAGAGCTGGAACAGGAAATCTCTGAGCTGAAGAAGAGAAGCTCTGAGGTGGACCAGCTCTCACAGTCTGAAGACCACCTCCACCTCCTCCAAAGCTTCCTGTCCCTGAACGCTGCTCCAACCACCAAAGACTGGACAGAAGTCAGCAGCCGTCCACCTTCATATGAGGGGACTGTGGTGAGAGCTGTGAACCAGCTGGAGGAGACGCTCAGTAAACAGATGAAGAAGCTGCTCGCTGAGGTCGAGCTGAAGAGGGTCCAGCAGTATGCAGTGGATGTGACACTAGATCCTGATACAGCACATCACCAACTCATCCTGTCTGATGATGGAAAACAAGTTAAACATGGTGATGTAAAGAAGAAACTCCCAGACGATCCAGAGAGATTTAATCGTTGTACTAATGTCTTAGCAAAGCAGAGTTTCTCTTCAGGAAGATTTTATTACGAGGTTCAGGTTAAAGGGAAAACTGAATGTGATTTAGGAGTGGCCAGAGAGTCGATCAACAGGAAGGGAAAAATCACACTGAGACCTCAGGATGGTTACTGGTCGATATGTTTGAGGAATGAAAATGAATACAAAGCTCTTGCTGGCCCTGCAGTCCGTCTCTCTCTGAAGTCTCAGCCTGAGAAGGTGGGGGTGTTTGTGGATTATGAGGAGGGTCTGGTCTCCTTTTATGATGTTGATGCTGCAGCTCTTATCTACTCCTTTACTGGCTGCACCTTCACTGAGAAACTCTACCCATACTTTAGTCCCTGTAAAAATAATAAAGGTAAAAACTCTGCCCCTCTGATCATCTCTCCTGTCAATCACACTGAGTAGAACAACCATTTGATTTTCTACAGAAAGATTCACATCATTTAATGTAATAAATGTATATTTAATGGTGAAGTAAACATATGTTTTCCTTTGATGTGTCACAATGCTGCTTATGTGCTCATCATATTTCACCATAATTCATTCTAATAACTGCATTACCTGCCTTCAAAACTATTACATTATCAGAAAACAATGTACTCAGGAATAAGAAACCTTTACACAGTCTTTACATTTCTGGGTGACAAATTCAAACCTTTATATTGTCTGATCATTGTATATATAAGAATATTGTATACTACATACTGGCATAAATTACTGAAGAGACAAATGAGACAAAAGTAATTTGCTGTTCTCTCTATTTCTTTAAAAATTAAACAAACAAAAAGTAGCCAATAACCATCACATGTGACACCGTTGGTAGTGTCAGATGTGTTCATTTATTTTTATGTATATCATTATATTATTGTCTGTCTATAAATGTTTTATGTCTCCCCTATTGTGTCTGTTCATTCTAAACTGTTGAAATGTTGTGGTTATAATGATTGATTACCTTTGTCAAATTTAAATTCACACGATAAAGATAAAAAGTAATTTGATAATATTTGTGTAACCCAGCTGGACAAAATGGGTTAAATAGAAATGAATAAAGTTATAAACAATCAAACTACTGATTTAGGTTTTAAGTGAATATGTTTAGGGCCCGAGCACTGACCGTGCGAAGGCCCTATTGTAATGGAAGGAATTTTTATTATTTTTCTGCCACTCCAATCACATATTTGGAGGCCGCAACATGCCCGAAAAACTCATGAAACACGGCACACATGTCAGTCATGGCAAACAATGTCTATTTCTAGGGGTCCACTATGAGCATAGCAAAATGGCCCCTCAGGGGCCCATAAACTGTACCATCCGGGGCCCCATTCACCGATATGCATTGGCACACGCGTAGATCTTATCCAGACGAATAAAAAATTCAGTGGGTGCCATATCCCAAACCTAGGGAATGGATCGGATCGACTTCAGATTTGGACACAGCCGTCTAAAGACATTCATGATTAAAAGTTGTGCTATTTATGACATTCCGTCGGTGTGCAATTTTAACGACTCGCCATGAAAGAGGGATTTGTCATAAGTTCTGCGGACATGACCTGATCTCAATGAAACTTCACGTTTGATGAGAGTCCCGCCCTGAACACGTCTATGTGATAATATTCAGTAATAGTGAGAGCGCCATCTAGTGGTGAAAGGAAATGTCCTTTTTTTATACTTCCATGTTCTACTCCTAGTAGGATGATCAAATCGAGCTGAAATTTAGTCAGGAAATGCAAAACATGTTGTTGATAATATTTCATGATTGTGCTGAGTTTTTGTCAAAGGGCGTGTCCATGGCGTGGCGTCAAATTTTGATGTACCGCCAGAACACACAAAGTTGCTATAACTTGAGTGTACATTGTTTAATTGGCTCCAAACTTCACTTGCCTGATAAGAGTTCCACCCTGAACACATCTATGTGATAATATTCAGAGAGTGCCACCTAGTGGTGAAAGGAAATGTAATTTTTATACTTTAATGTATATCTTCCAGCAAATTGACCAGATCCAACTGAAATTCTGTCAGAAGTTCCTTAGGACGATGACGACTTCATTTTATGAATCTTAAGAATTTGTGTGGAACAACGTTGCCATGGCGACGTGGCGAAAATCAGCTTTTCTGTTAACATTTGAACACTTTTTGGGGGGCTAAACATGCCCGAAAACTCATAAAACGTGCACAAAATTCAGTCATGGGCGTCGCAAAATGGCTTAGTCACGCCCCCCAGAATCAGCCCCCAAGACACGTATGATGAGAGTAGAGAAGCAGTAAGAAGTCATAACGATTACTGAGGATGAGCAGTTGCCAGCTGACAGTTGTGTGGCCACGGTCCTTTTTCTTTGTCTGTCTGACATCCAACCTCCCTGCATGCTGTCACACTGGCTCTCTGCCTCTCTAGTGGTTGGAAGGAGCTGCTGTGTGGAAACAGGTAGCAGCTGAATTACTTTGCCTCAAACATACATAGAGCTGAACAGTCAGCAAACAGTAATAATCTACACAGATAGTGTGACGTGAGTCATTTCACTGGACCGGCAGATCCGACCTTAGCTTACAACCGGCGGTTCTGACATTAGATTATAATAACATATCATAAAACATGAGCTATAGATTAGCAGTGTAGTTTCACAGTGTCTGTGAAGAAAGCCTGAAGAAAATCCTGAACCCAAAACTAGTAAAAAAGAGAATAACGTTCAAACTCCACAATTCAGTACCACATAGTTCCCAGTCTAATGTTTACAACAGCTATTTTATGACACATATAATGTGTAGAGAAATCACTGAATTTGCTTAAACAGACTTTTAAAGTCTTTTAAAGTCTGTGTAAAGGAAACTTTGATTTAGTTCATTGTAGCTGCAGCTTTTACAGAATCCAAACATTTCTAAACCCAACTCAGCTCTGACTCTGTGTGCAGTATGGGATGCTACAATATTTAGAAATGTTAGAAATGCACTTTTCACTTATTAATTCTTACTTTCAATATGTATTTGTGAATTTTTTTAATTTATTTATTTCATTGAGTGTGAATTTTTGTTATTTTTTTCATTTACTGTTATTTTGGTTTATTTCCAGTGCCCTAACCCCTGTTGCATATGTTTACTGGTAATATTATTACTCTATCCAGGCGTTTTGTTTCATTTTGAAAAATAGCACCGCTCTTTGCATCACTGTTATGTTTTTAACTCTACCTGATATAGAGGGTTCCTGTACCTATTTCCCAAGTGGATTTCTTTATTAATTTGACATCTTCTTATTACAGACATGTTATGGTGGGAGGGAAAAATAGTATTTTCCTCCTGTTGGGTTAAACATTATCTACAGGAATTATGAATGGTGTATCAGTGGACATAATAATGTTTGTTCATACATACATCACGGTAACTGGAGTGGAAACATCTGGCGAGTTTTAGTACTTTGAAGTTACAGAGCCAGACAACAGTATTTCCCCCATCACAACCGCACACAGTTTATACATGAGCCCCAGGTCACGGTCTAACCTGTAGTTACACAGCTCACAGATAATCTAAAATACTAATGACTGTATGCTTAAAGGTTTATTGGTTTATTGGCAGCTGTTGTTAAACTGAGTAAAACTGTATATCTTAATGAGCTCAAGTGTGCATGCAGCCAGTTCAGATTTTTCATGATTTGTGGCAGTGTTTATCAAATGGGGGTACATGCACCCCTAGGGGTTCTTTGGCATACTGCATGGGGTATATGACATTTGTTTTAATGTTCATTTAAAAATATCCAACATGCATAAGTTCAATAAAGACAAACACACACACACACACACTTTTCTGTGAAACAAATTTTTTCAGCAAACCTTGATTAAAAACATTTTACAGATTATTGATATTATTTGACTTTTAAAGCTAGCAATTCAGTTTAACTTCCGCTTTTCAACAAACCTTCAAATTATCCACATCATTTATACAATTTTAAAGACAGTAATTCAGTTTAGCATCAGCCTTTTGACAGACAGAATTCACACCTGCAATTTCTTCAGAAATTACCCCCTGTAGTTACTATTATTATTGTAATAGTATTTCTGAGTTTATTAACATACTGACACTAGCATTTAACTCAAAGCACTGCTCTTAGCTTATTTATTTAACTGAGGAACATTTCAAACTTGATAGTAAAAAGAAAGTCATTATCAGAATACAAAGCAACTGTTCCTCCCACGAGGCTCCGACATTATGCCGACGACTCTCTTCTTTATTGCAGAATACAGTAGTACCCTCTGCTTTGATACACTAATTTTGATTCCACTCTTTGCAGAATGTCTTCCTGCTCTTCTAGCCTGTCTTCCTGTACAGCCAGCTTCCTCTCCTGCTCGGCTAGCTTCCTCTCCTGCGCGGCTAACTTCTTCTGCTGCTCAATGAGCATGCTCTCCTGCTCGAGCAGCTTCTCATCCTGTTTGAGTAACTTCTCCTCCTGCTCGTCCAGTTTCTTCCCCTGGTGGACATGCAGAGCCGCAGAGAGAGTCACAAAGGCATCAGTGAGACTTTTGTTCAGGCTGTCGAACTCTAATTTGTAGTCGCTGGATTTCACTATCTGAGTCACCTTGAATGTCTGCGTGAATTTCCCGATCAGCTCAGCAGCTGTTAACAGAACCTTGTTGAGTTTCTCCAAAGCTTCCTTCACGTCATCAGAGAGTTGGTTTGGCTCCTTCTGTAAGATGGAAAGCGCCAGTTTCTCCAGAGCTTTGAGTCTCTGCATAACGTGGGGGCATTGCTCATTATTGTTCTTCATCTTGTCAAACATGTTGTAGATGGTCCAGAAGGGTTTTATGAGCTCCATGGTCAGCTGGAGAAACAGCATGAGAGAAAAAGGACATATTCAGACATTAATGTTGTTGAGACTTGTGTTGAGTGTCTCGATGATGATGAAATGGACTCTTTGGTTTGAAATATAATTTTATTATTGTTAATTTTCTATTATTTATGGTTCTTTACTTGCAGCCCTCCTTTTTGTTGTCCTATGTTTATTGTTACTCACGAGGCAAATTATTTTTATGTGAAAAGCAACTGAATCTCATCATTAACTAACTAATGCCAACAGTGTTACACTACAACTTATAAACTTCACTTTATTTGAATATAATAAAGTTTATGTGTACACAAAGTGCTTCACAACTTCATAACAAGTAGATTTTACAACAGTGGCATTCACAGTCGGCCTGTGCTGGATTTAACATATTGGTCAAAGTTCAAAACATAAAAGCAGATTAACAAATTATGGCAGAAGATAAAAATGGGATGGTAACTAGAGGCTGGTGTGTGTCCTTTGATCGTTTGTATTTGTGAATATTTAGAGAATTCAAATAGCTCCTATTACGGCTCAGTCAGGAACCTTCATGAGCAAAAAAAGACCATTCGACCCGACCCAGGTATAACCCTGTGTGCCAGGAGAGTCTGCAAGGTGTTTGCCATTTTGACATGAAATAGTAGGGTAAACACAGGTGTTACCGATTATACTAATTAATTATTTACATTATTTATTATTCATATATTGACAGGAAATGATTACTTACTGTAAAGTGGAAGTTGATGCAAGCTGTCCGTCTTAATGCAGGAGTGTGCATGAAAGCAATGTATTATCCTCTAACTCAGGTGGGCTGATAAGGTATTGTCCTTCCCTCCTCTGGGCGTCACCTCTCCGGGTCTCTGTCTGACCTGCAGCCACACTGCTCACAGATAATCTACAATACTAAAAGGTTTATTGGTTTATTGTTGATAGAACTCATTAAAGGCAACTTTTGTTTGTGCATAGCAACCTTCATAAATGAGGCCCAAGCTCTCTGTCTGATCTGTATGATTAAGGTTTACTGGTTTATTGGCAGCTGTTGTAAAACTCAGTAAAACTATATATTTGATATAAAAACATATTTGTGTGTTTTGCCAGCTCAGATAAAACAGTCTTGCTGTCCTGCTGATAAACAATTGATCCATCCTAAGCCCTGACCTCTCTGTGCTCCAATAACCAAAACACTTTTGCTCTCTATAGCTCTGTAATTTACCCGTTCATGACAACCGTACGGGGGGTGAATTTTTATAAAACTCACCTGTTTGAATTATTTTAAGGCTTAAAGTTATGCATAATTAAGGACACGTTTGAGTGACAGGTGGGGGCTGTCAGAGGCAGCTGTTTTCAGTAACCAGGCTTCTTTCAGCTCCGCCTCTTTGCCAGTTTTTGGGACGTCACAGAGACAACATCCATTATTAATTATACAGTCTGTGGTATCAACCCGACTCCTGTTGCTGGTCAGGGTACTCGGCTGAAACAATATTTCAAAGGGGGTAAATTAATGAAACTACTGAGGTATCTATAAAACACATTCAAATTGTGTCCTGATCTAAAACGTCCTTCAAAGTGCCATGTTTAACCCTTTAAAAGCTGACCACCCATGGGCGGCTATTTTTTACTTTATCCTGTTTAAATCAATCGGAAAAAAAAAAAAAATCAGAGAGAGTTTTTGCTTCCATCTTTAACATCACATCATCTTTTAAACAGATATCACTGACGTCATTATGATACATTACGTTACGGAGGAGTAGAGCAGTTTAAAAAATAATATTGAAATAAAAATATAAAAAAACAAAAAACGAAATTATTTTTAGAAATATGTCCAGACATATTTAGTTTATGTTTCTATAGTCTACAATATTAATTCTTTCACTATGTTTTTTTTGTTTTGTTTTTAATTTGATGAAACAACAGGTCACATTTTCTGTATATTCTTTTTTATTTATGACTCAATTTCAATACTTTTTTCAATTTCTATGGTTTATTGACATGTACACATTTTAGGAATACAAATCATTTCAAGACACTCCAAGAAATCACATCACAATAAACAAAAATACCAAAGTAGGCCCTATTTATCCCACCATTATCCATTATCAATCTAAACTTAAAACTATAGCTAGAGCATTCATTCTTTTTGTCAGCAGAAGACTAAAGCTTTCGTCTTTAACGTCATCACGCTGTGCGCTCTGTTACATTACGTGCAAAACATTGCGACAACACATGGGGGTGCCAGTTGATTGGTGCAAGGAGACAATAAAAATGATTTTTGTGTCAGTGTCACTGTTTTTTGTTTCTATTTAATCAAATTTGATGAAATTCGAAATATCTGCGTTTGAGATTCCTGCATTAAACCTAATACAATGGAGGTGAATGGATCTGTGTGTCCCCATTACTCTGAGTAATACACAGCAGCTGTTTATACTATAAACATCATGAGACGCTTATAGTCATGTGTGTGCAGACTCGGGGCAAAAAAACACCCAAGAATAACTGAGAGCTTATGGGAAGATCATTCTGTGCAATAACACAGGTTCAGGTCTTGTTGCTAACAGTATACCATGTCAGTGGGTTGACCATGAGTGTCTCACATGAATCCAATCACATCTGCCCTGCCCCTCCGTCCATCCCTCTGTGCTATGAGTTATGCTTCTGCTTCAGGGATAAGATATATAACACCCGGGTGTGTCACAGCAGAGTGTGAACAACAGTCAAAAGGGGGAAGGAACACTGTCAGAGAGGAATAGGAAGTGAGCCGCAGAGGGAGGAGCTGAAGGCTGAAGTTTCATTTTCTCCCAGCACTCACTCACAAACATAAAGCTGCGTTGAGAGGCTTCCACTGACATCCACTTACAGGTAAATAATCTTTATGTTTTTGATCTGCTGACTGCTCCGTATGTGTCCTCTTGTGGTTGACTCTGTGAGCAGGTTTGTCTGCTGCAGGTTGCTCGTAGATCAGAAGGTTTGTAAAAAGGGACACCTTTCACCCAGCGACGCACACTGAGGTTTTAACTGAAACAGAAAGACAAAGGCGTGTTATTCCCTTCAGGCAACAGAGAGCGATAATTATCTGCCAACATGAATGTCTGACGGCCTCCAGCTGTGGTTTAAGGAGGAGTTTACCTGCTCATATGAACGAGTGGGCAGAGGGAGAGAACATACTGTTCAGATAGTATACATGTCTTATGGATATGATATATCTTTATATATATATATATATATATATATATATATATATATATATATATAGAGAGAGAGAGAGAGAGAGAGAGAGAGAGAGAGAACAGAGGAAGAGGAGCAGACAACCTGGAGGGACAAGCCCCTACATGGCATGTACCACTGCCAAATTGAAGAAGTGGCTGATATCGAGAAGACCTACCAATGGCTGGAAAAGGCTGGACTCAGAGACAGCACAGAGGCACTGATCATGGCAGCACAAGAACAGGCCCTAGGTTCAAGAGCCATAGAGGCCAAGATCTATAAGAGTAGATCTGACCCAAGGTGCAGACTATGCAAAGATGCCCCTGAGACAGTCCAGCACATAGTAGCAGGGTGTAAGATGCTAGCCGGGTCAGCGTACAACATATCAGAAAGAAGGAACACGAAAAGGTTGAAAAGTACCAAGGGTTGAAAGAACAGCTGGAGCAGATGTGGAAGGTCAAGGTGAGCGTCATCCCCATGGTAGTAGGAGCACTTGGGGCAGTGACCCCCAAACTGGGGGAGTGGCTCCAACAGATCCCAGGAACAACATCAGAAGCCTCAGTCCAGAAGAGCGCAGTCCTAGGAACAGCTAAGATACTGCGCAGAACCCTCAAACTCCCAGGCCTCTGGTAGAGGACCCGAGCTTGAGGATGACACACAGATACCACCCCGAGAGTTTTTTTTATATATATATAAATAATGTATATATAAAATATATATATATATGGCAGAGATAATTCATGCTTAGTGTAAAACATATAAATCCAAGTGTGTCCATTGACAAGGACATTAAAATACTGTTTTACCACATTTTCTTTCATAATTTTTATTTCTTTTCATTCTAAGGTAACAAAAACACAACGATTCTTATATTCAGGTGATTATAAATAAAAATGTACCTATGGATATTATATTATATTTTATCTTATTATATAGCCAACGGATCCTCCTAAAAGTTACACACTGGACCTTTAATTAAGTGATCCAGACACATTTCCAATATGTGGGTATTTCATCTATTAGCAGTGTTTGCAGCATAGCTCTCGGGATGTCAACAACTACGTAATGGCCACAAATTGTAGTTGCCCAGAGAATGAATTCTCCTGACGTTTCTATAGCGCCATTCTCATGGAATTTGATTCACATATTAGCATCATCATCAGGTCAAAGTTTGAATTTGGTGAAAGCACAAAGTCCTTCTTCCAATTTCAGTTAAAGTTCTCTGAAGGAGAATCCTCTATTAGTAGCCTGAGTGTTGTTTTAAGACAGTTATCTACAGTATACTGTATATGGTGTTGTTGGTCCTACATATACTAAGTGTTTGCTTATAAACTGTGTGAGACAGCCGAGTCAGTCTGCTAACTCTAGTCTGAGTGCAAACCCCCCGTAGTTAGTCTGTAATTGTATATCATTACCTGAACATGACTCAACAAACTTCCTGAAATGTACTGAATCAACACGTTTCACTTCCTGCTGTAGAGTGAATTTTCTTTGTTGGAGAGGTGTGGCTCAAACAGCAGGACTGGTTTTAAGGAAACAGTCAGCAGGTTGTGTGAGTGATGGACTTGGCGATGTGTTACCGCTGTCGGCGTGAATTATCGCCAGATGAATCATCTCCTCGCTCTGATTGGATCTGGACAGACGTTCCCATAGGAAATCTTCTCTGCAGATAACACAGTTCAGTCACTTTAATTGAATTCACGTCAGATAATTAGAGGAACGGTTCTGTCGGTTATTCTAATTTTATTGACAGTTGTTTTACATTTGTCACATTTGCTCTCATTGAGGTTTGTTGGTATTCAAAGCATCCCTAAAAAAAAATCCTTCCTGTTTGTTGTACGTTGGACTGTACTGGGGTTTTTTTTGTTTATTCTGTAGGTGGTGCTACATGATGACGGTGACAATGGTTTAACAAACAACCTGTTATGTTCTGATAACAAGATAATTAAAGAGGAACTAAACCCCAAAACCACTTTCTTCATCTGGAAACCTGTTTCTGGGTATTTACTAGTGTTGTTGATTGACTGATTTCCCAATCCGGACGTTTTAGTGTAAAGTATTTAAATTCTACATATTTTCCTATAAGAATGCACAGATAAACTGCACAATGATCCCAAACAGTGAACACAACAGCTGCTGGAAGTTTGTGTAAAAGCACAGATTTGGATGAATTTTGAGCAGATTATTTCCTGTGAATAAAGTCAGACTTGGTTAAATTAAGACCAGTTCAAGTTAATTATGGCTTAGTTAAACTTTATCTGACTTCCTTTCTTTCCCTGCAGCTGGTCATGGACTTCATAGAGCCCATCCTGTCCATCGCCACAGAGATCTACACCCTGGTGGAGAATGTGAAGGCCAATAAGAAGCGCTGCCAGCGTGTTTCTGAGCGAGTCAAAGCCCTGGTAGAGCTGGTGAGGTCCATCAAACAGAGAGACAAGGAACAAATCTCTGCCGACATAAAGAAACCTCTCGAGGAACTCTGTATCACTCTGAAATCAGCACAGAAGCTCATCGAGAAATACACTAAGGCCAGCTGGGTAAAGCGCGTCCTGAACTCGGGCAGCCACGGAGACGAGTTCAACAGCGTGAACGAACGTCTCAATGATGCCTTTCAGGTCCTGTCTGGAGCTCTGCAGGTGGAGCAGGGGAACATGTTGTACAAGGTGTTTGAGTTTACCTCCAGACAGAAACAAGACGAGGTGGACGGGAGGCAGGACGACAAAGAGCTGCAGGAATGTGAGAGAAACTGATGCTGAGTTTTTTTAGACTTTAGAATAACGTTACTATCTGCAATGTTCCTATGTTTTATTTGGACCATTAGGTCCATGCTACTAACTAGCAGTGGTTCCTAAACCTTATTTTGATTGAAACGGCCTTGTGACAGAAGCATTTCACCAAATTTTGGTCTGACCAACCAAACACGACTAAGATAAAGATATGAAAGGTCTGGTGGGAAATCAGAGCTGTGTTTGGTGTGTGGTTGGATTTGTTTGATCGGTTTTTGTTTGTCTGTTCCTCAGTGCTCCTGGAACACATGGTGAGGCAGCAGGAAGAATTCGAACAACTCAGAATGAGCGTGGAAAAGGTTGTGGAGATCTGTGAGTACACCAAAAGACTTCAGTATATGTCTGTGTGGCTTTGTTGGAAATACACAGAGTATTGCAATCGTATTGTTATTGCACATAGATAGATAGATAGATAGATAGATAGATAGATAGATAGATAGATAGATAGATAGATAGATAGATAGATAGATAGATAGATAGATAGATAGATAGATAGATAGATAGATAGAGTAGATTGATTTTCCCTAATGCAGATCTGCATTATACTGGCTGAGGCTGGCAGTAAATGACTAAGTGGACTTCTTCTTTTAGTGCAATGTTTTCTCACTGTGCTATTAGTACTTATAAAGGATCTGATTACTTCCTCCACCATTAGTCCACAGTCTGTAGGCAAAAGTGAGCATCATCCTGTTCCATCAGCCAACAGACACTAGACTGAACGCTGTAAAATAACTGACAATCATATTTAAAATGACGTTACTATCTGCAATGTTCCTATATTTTATTTGGACCATTAGCTCCATGATACTAACTAGCTCGCTGTTTACAAATCAGCCCATCAGCCAACTCCACGAAGCAACCAACACCAGACCCACACCGCAACGCCAAGACACATCCAGCCAGACAACCAAGCAAACACTAATAACAATAATTAACTAATTACATTTTTGTATTAGTCATCTGTTGCCTCAGTTACATGGTTGACCTCAGTGTCTTGTTAAAGCAGCTATAATGTATATATTCTATGATAATGTGACAAAAAACCTATAATTACTCAAAAATAACTCGTGTTTTGACAGTGAATAAGCCCAGCATCACTGATCAAGACATTCGGATAATCAAACCAGACGAGCTGAAGTACGAACATCCCAAAAAACCCTTCATGACAACAGGAACCTCAGAGGTCTACAGGGGAGAGTTCTGTGGGTTCCAGGTGGCCATCAAGAGATACACTGACCCTTTGAACACCAGCCTGAGGTCTGTGCCACCGTTGATTGTGCTCAACCAGTGACAGTATATATAATAGACAGAGCTTCTGGGTCTGTAAAGTGTCTTCAACCTGCATTCTATATAACAGCCAGCAGGGGGCAGCTCCATTACCATTCAGTCTTCTCTCTGGAGAAATGAGACGACTTCTCAGTTGATTTATGAGCTCGGTAAACAGTTTCCTGATGAGTTTGTGGTCTCAGTCTCTAGTTTCAAGTCTTCTCCCATACAGCATGATGTTCATTTAGTAAATTATGGTCCTGTTTAGAGTAAAATAGACAAGAGGCGAGATTACATAAATTATTATCTTGTATTAAACTTTCTTTATTATGCGGTAAAGTCACCGCATAATAAAGCTACCCAGCTGTATATAAAGTAATTAGCAACATTAACGCGATGAACACATTATTGCTTCAATAATATAAATGATCCTGAAATAGGCATTTGAGTTTATGAGTATTTTTTTGTACATTATGTATAGTTGGATTCATGTGACTGTATATAATGTAGTATATTTTGTTTCTGTTGTAGTGAGGTGAAGTCTGTTTTCAATAAGGAAGTTGAAACCATGAAGCGGTTTGAGTCGCCCAACATCCTGCGAATGTTTGGCATCTGTGTCCAGGAGGAGGAAGGTAAGCGAACTGCAGCATGTCAGTCATTTGTTTTTATAAAAAATGACCTACTGCAGCTTTAAACTAAGAGTAATGTGATGTGACTGCCTGAAGGTTCCAGCCCTCAGTTCCTCATCATCATGGAGTACTGTGAGAGGGGAAGTCTGCGTCAGGTTCTGGACTCTAACAGCAAACTGTCCTGGACCAGGAAAGCTCGTATGTGTCTGGACGCAGCCAAAGGACTCTATCGGTCAGTCCGCACAATGATTAATTATATGTCTGGTTGAAATGAAGAAACACACAGAGAAAAAGGGAATTGACGATGCAGAAAATATGAAAGTAGTAGTTGGGATGAAGTCGAATCCGGTAGACGAGGATACAAAGTAGTGCTCCTGACTTTGGTGCAGTTTATTGCACAGTGTGTTAATGTGATGTTGTGTAGACTTGTGTATGGTGAGTTGTATTTTTTTGTTTTTATGGTTTTTATTAGTGAACATGGTAACGTTACTGTTGGTGTAACTACATCCTTCAATTCTGCTAGCTCCCTCCCTCTCTGCAAGTTTAAACAATGAACCACAGACAAGCAAAGGACATTGTCTTCAGAGGGTCCACTGCAGCTTTTACAGTCACTAGAAGTACATTCACAGCCATTTGTAAAAGTTTCTGTGGTATCTGTGTTGTAGCTAAGCTGATGGCTCAGACAGGCTAATGGTACATGTCCACAGGGGTGTATTTTGAGGGGTTGCGCCTCTTCCAAGCATTGGACGCTTGAAATCACAAATGGCTTCACCCTCTTACAACTGCGTGAACCAGTGGTTCCTGCTAGGGCTCACCAAATCTTCACGGGGGTTCACAAGGCCTTCTTGAATTCAAGTGGTGTAAAGAGAATTAAGTACACAATTTTAATAACTTTGGTAAGAATGTCAATGTTGATGTAGACATTAAAGCCTCACCTGACACCACCGAGATAGCTAACCTGCAGCTACGGTTGGTGGAGGTAGTTCGGTGGAAATAAAATAGTTCCTATGAATCTCTAAAACTCGGCAACTCACACCAAAACAAGACAGATAAACAGCAGGTCAGAGTCTGAACAATCCCTTTAAAGTACTTAATGTTAATATATAAAATATTGACTAGAGCAGCTTTGAATTAGATTTAAGGAACTATCATGATGATTATCCCCGTTGTCTCTTAGGCTGCACCAGACAGAAGAGAAATGTAAGGTTCACGGATGCATCAACAGCAGCAAGTTCCTGGTGGATGAAGGCTACACAGTCAAGGTACCGAGGCCCAGTGCACGCTGGGATTTAAAGGTTGATGGTGAAAACTAATTGACGCCGCTGATGTTGGGGGGCTTTATTTTATTTTTTTCAGCTGGGAGGTTTTGAGCTGGCAAAAACCGAGACGTCGCTGAAGAAGTCGCTGAAGAAGTCGTCGAAGGAGAAAGAGATCGGGTCCCTGTGCTACTCCACTCCTCAAAAGCTCAGCAACATCAACTACAAGTACAGCAAAGAGTGTGAGATCTACAGGTGAATGTGAAACTCTGGCGTCAAACTCTGCACATACATCCTTCTGCACACTTTTAATTGGTCCCTCACTCATTCTGGAAATGTTGTCTTTCAGCTTTGGGATCGTCATGTGGGAAATTGCAACCCGTAAGAGACCTTTTGAAGGTGTGTATCTGCAGCCAACGACCTGTTTAAACTTTCCTCTTTCAGTGAGAACAGCGGCTGTGGTCAGCTTGAACTCACGTTGCTGAAAATGGGTCACATCTGCAAGTTCCTTGTCTTCTAGTCTAGAGATTGTTTTGAGTGGTGTGACCAAAGTTATAACTTATGTAGGCATGAACTACGTGCACTCACACACACGGTAAAACGATTTAAATAAAGGCTCATTTGTTTCAACTTTTAGACGTATAATGTATTGACAAAATTGGGCAAAACTTAATTTGAGGCCACTAAAACTACATTAAGATGCTGACCTGATGGTGGCGCTCGAAGTGATCAACATTTACAGGATCTATTGTCAGAAATGGAATATAATATTGATAGGTATGTTTTCATTAGTGCATAACTTAAAATATATACACATTAGGCCTATATCTCATCACATTTCATTCATTTCTGTGAAGAAAACTAAATAAAACAGTTATTTGTAAAGTTTAGGTTACACCATGAAAACAGATAAGTTCATTTAACTCAAACAATTGTTGAAACTGATTAAAATTTTAAGTAAAACTACCTAAATTGTTGTTAAAAAAAAACATTCTCAATCAAGTATCTTTTGTTATTTTAAGTGACACTGACTTCATTTTGACATTTTTTTTGTACTGTGAAAAAAACCTGTAAAAAATACTTAATCAGGAATGTTTTTAATGTAGAACATTGAGTTTGTGTAACTTAAAATTAAATTAAAATAACTAAATAATTCTGTAAAAAAATTACAGCAAATTGATTAAAATGACCAAATATCCTGGAAATAATGTTTGTTGTCCTGGAAATTTTTATCCTGTGTTTAATGTTACAGTTAAAGGAAAACTGGAGTCAATAGACTGTTTTGACATTAACAGTTCAGTCTGGAGGTGCTGTTAGTTAAAGGGTCCCATACAACTGCTGGACTCCCTAACTGCTAACAGCTCTCTGATTTCTGTTCCATGTGGACTTTAATGTGGATTAACTTTTCCTCCAGGTTTGTCGAGTCAGGATATCTATCAGAAAGTGTTCCAAGAGAAATATAAGGAGCCGATCCCCGACTGTCCTGAACCTCTGGAAGAGCTGATCAACGCCTGCCGGGCCTACGATACTTTCCAGAGACCGTCTGCTGGAGGTCAGTTACACCCACGCTCATCACTACACAGTCTTTCCTATTCTGTTAAGTGTTGTTCATTGATAAATTGTGGCTGTCTTTCTCTGTCTGCAGTGCTGGTGGATAAGCTGCGCAACGTGGTGACAAACTTAGAGGAGTGATCAAACTCTTCATCCCTCGGGCGTTTCTGTCATCCTCAGGAGGAGAAATACTGAAACTAAACTACACCGACAACTAGGTTTACTGTAACTCTTGTATAAACGTCTCACACTGTTGAAACCAGGGACCTTCTCATGGATCTGCGTGGTGTGTTGTTTTGTGAAAGGTTCTGGCGTCGGTTGATGGCTGATTTGTAAACAGCGAGCAAGTTAGTAGCATGGAGCTAACGGTCCAAATAAAATATAGGAACATTGCAGATAGTAACGTTATTCTAAATATGATTGTCAGTTATTTTACAGCGTTCAGTGTTTGTCTCTGTTGGCTGCAGTTCACTGAACGACCACTGGTGGCGCTGTTAGTAACGGTTTAATTAAAGTTACATATTGAACCTTTAAGTAGCTTGAGACGAAACAGATGTGATGAATCGGGACTGAGCGCAGTGTGAACGCAGCCTTTTATGGAGCATTTAACTGTCACACATGTACAAACCTTTTACTAACACGTCTCTTATAAACTGTCAATGACGGCAACTCTGAAAATGCAACAACTGAAAATACCTCCACCCAGTGGTTAACACTCAGTGTTACAACTAATTCTCCTTTTGTTTCCTGATTTTTAAAAACTGTTAAAAACTACAAATCTTTGAGTCTTTATGTTTACCAGGACCACAAATTCTGGTGTTTCGTGCAACGTCAGTGCTGATGTTTAAATCCTAAAATATGAACAAATAAAGACAATAAACAAACTGAAACCAGTCGTTTTAACTACGGAGAGAAATTCTTCTTTTTTCTCTTTTTTATTAAAAACATTTACTTTTATTTTTGTTTATATTCATTTCAGTGTGTAAATTGACAAATACTGGAACTAAAGACTTTTCCTGTATATTCTTATTGTATTTTACAATATTATTTCAGGTAGTTCTAGTTTGGCGATAGACAGTTAAAGACCATAAACTTTTAATAGGTTAAATACAGTTTCTGTAACAGTAAAACTCCATCATATCTCACAGCAAAACCCTCATTTATACGGAATTTTAAATGGAATAAAGTTGTTTTTTCTTATATATTACAGACTGTAAGTTGCACAGAAAACCACCGTCATATCTCATGATAAAAACGTTTTTCATGTGGTTTCTTTTGATGGTAAATTTTTTTATTTATACACTAAAATATGGAATAAAACTCCACCTTTAACCGTAAAATTATATTTATAACTAACAGCAGTGAACATCAGACAACACGAGCATACTTTAGCAGTTAGATAGTGTTTCTGTAGTGGTGAAAAAAACATTAGAAATTATATATATTAGCAGTTTGAATCCAACTAAAAGCACCTCGTACCAAACTCCCTTTAAGAAATATCACATTTTAACAATTCCTAATGTGTTAGTAACAAAACATGTAACTATAGAAAAACGAGCCGAAGCCCCTCATATGTCCACAGTCTGACTGTTAATTCGGCATTGATATTATCAATAAAGATAAAGTGTATTCTGTACGAACTTTACATTTTGTCTGCTCAACTCGCTCCGCCTCCGTTGTAGCTGCGCTCTTTAAGCGGGCAAAGACCGTGGGAGTGAGAGGCGGACTTCTTGAAAAAGTTAAGATTTTAACCAAAATAAGTGCTGGTTCGTGTGTCAGATCGGCGCCGAATTGAACACCGACTCACAACACTGTTTATTATAAGTCTATTTTGTGTGTTTCGGTGCCTGAGGAGTTTTTTTATTCTTTTATAATCAACGTAACAACCGGCTGCTCTGTTGTGTGTGACTCATCTTCTCAACACACGATCTCCGGCGGTGACGTCGCGGCAGGATGGGGCGGGCAGAGCGAACTGGCGCCGGGAGATTCGATCCCTGACCGCGGTGCTGGCTGCATTAACGCTCCCGAGTGAACTGGAAGCACCGTTAAACCCCCCCCCCCCCGCAACCAGAACCGTTTGATTCGCCTCCTCTGGTAGCCATGTCGTTACGGTGTGTGTCCGTCCAGAGCGGGAGCAGCGGCCGTTGAACCGTCACTGCATACAGGTAGCTAAGAGCCTGCTAGCCGGAGCTAGCCGTGGAGCTAACGGCGCTAACGAGCCAAAACAAGCCGCCTCGTTCCCTAAACGTGTTTACAGCGAGGACATCGTGATTAATGTTAACAGTAGATAGATCAACACGGGGTAAATGAAAGCGCAATGTAACGCAGGAGGTTTGAAATGGATACAAGGAGCTAACAGTTGGTGTTAGCTCTGTTTTTTTTGCCCGGAGGCCTCACAGACCTCGGCCTCTAGTTCGGTGTGTAACCGAGGAACGCACGACCTTCCCCCGGGGAGCGCCGCGGGAGGTATACCCCATCACTGATAACAGACAGCGGTGTGTCCCAGCCTTTACTCTCACTCAGTTAACTCACTGTATTATATTATATTATATTATATTATATTATATTATATTATATTCAATGCATTACAATAGTGAAGAGATTTGGATGAATTTTAAACAGTTTATTTATGTGAACATGGGATTTTAATCACACTGATGATATAATAAAGAATATTTCTGGTAGAGGAGTAAGTAAGAAAAGCAAACAGTACATTTTCATATAAAATAATAAAATCAGAATCAATATTTTGAGGAATAAATGCTCAAATATTTTTCCTAAAAAGAAGATTTTGGGGACACGACTGAAATAAAGGACATTGGAAACATGAGCGCAGCACGTAAATGTCCTTTTAATATCTTTGTAAAGTTATATTTAGAAGGTAGACACCATTAAAAGGTAATATAATATGCTTTATTTCCCTCCATTTTTATCACATGACCAGAATTGTTTTGGTTTTTAATTTGAGGAATGTAATGAATAAATATATAAATTAAAAACATTATACTTGATTCAGAGTTTTTTCCTTTATGGATATAAAACTTCCCTTTCATAATAAAAAGATTTAAAGCTTTTTACTCAATTATCTGTCTGTATTGTGTATTTACAGATCTCATATTTTAGCTCAGTGGTTCCCAACCTTTAGGGTCGGGACCCCCACCAGGGGTCACCAGAGGCCTTTTTACTTTTAATGTGTGAAAGAAAACTGAAACATACACACAGTAGGTCTGTATCTCAGCATCTGGTTCACTTCTGTGAAAGTGAACCGTCCAGTAGAACAAAACGGGAAACACAGAATGTGTAAAAAAGAAGCAGATAAAGTCTAAAAGATTGTTAAAAATGTTTAAAATTGAAATTAAATGAGTAGAATTGTATAAAAAGTTCTATAAACAGGAAACAATCTGCTTAAAAAAACAAACTTCCTGCAGTTACTGAGTTCACACGCCTTTCCCAGCATGCACCAGGTTGTAGACGGTTCTGTAGTCCGGTCAGAAACACGTTCCTTCCCGTGAAAACTCGCTAATGTGACGATTAACCGCTCTAACCCGCGCTCCTTCTCGCCGTGCAGATGGAGGCCATGGAGGTGGACTTCCCCATGGAGGGACGAGGCGGCGGGCAGCCGGCGGTCACCGCCGGAGCCGCTGACCTCAACGCACCGTACGTCATCTCCGACTCCGGCAGCAGCACCGAGGTGGACGAGGACGACGAGGAAGACAACGAGGGAGGACAGACGGCGGCCCGTGTGCCGCCCAGGCTTCCCGCCACCTGGGCGTTCAGTCAGAGAGCGGTTGGCGGCTCCGCGGCCACGCCTTCTGCTGCTCGAGGGGCGCCCATACGGAGGAGACTCAGGTACACAGCTAATGCTCAAAGAAGGCCGGTTTATACCTCGTGTGGAAATCCTTTTAAAGAGCTGTATCTACTTTAATTCTACCGTTTATAGTTTTCCGGTCATGGAAACACCTGGAAAATGATTCAAATATCCTGGAAATAATCTATGTTGTCCTGGAAAATGTCCTGGAAAACTCTGCCCAGGGTTCAGACCCTCCAGTGTTGTTCTGAGATGTTAACCCTGTGTGTGCTGCTCCAGGCAGGGCCTCAGGGTGCACTACCCCAGCCAGACCGCGGCGCCCTCCAGAGGCTTCCCCGACTTCCTGCTCCGAGCGCCGGCGGCCAGCGTGGCCGAACCGGAGTCCGGCAGCACCACCGAGGTCAGCGAGTCTGACGAGGAGGAGGAACGGGGGGACGAGGGGGTCGAAGTGGGCGCACCTGCTGCTGCCGCGGAGCCTGCGGACCCCGTGCCGCCGGCGAGTCCTCGCCTTAACGCCCCCGTCCAACACGCACAACCGCAGGAAGCCGGTGCAACCAGTGAGTCTGAGCCTTTACTTCATGTTGTTTACTGGTTTCCTCAGACCAGAGCAGACTCTGTTGTGCTCCGAGTAACCAGTGAGATGTATTTGTCCCGCTGTGTTCAGACTCCAGCTCAGCTGCAGACGGTGAGAGGACCGAAGCTCCAAAACAGGTCGTCCAGGTAAAGTTCTTCATCACACAGAAAGCTGCTAATAATAATCAGGACTGTTTAATCCTGGAACATAAAGTGAACCCGTCACTCAGTTTGTTCTGCCCGTGTCTTCCTCCAGCCGCTCCCCGTGGCCTCGGCTCCCCTCCCGTTGTCACACGGCGAGGAGGGCGAAGGCGACAACTGCACCATCTGCTTCGAGGCGTGGACGACGGCGGGCGAGCACCGGCTGTCCGCCCTGCGCTGCGGCCACCTCTTCGGCTACACCTGCATCCAGCGCTGGCTGAAGGCTCAGGGCGGCGCCGCCAAGTGTCCGCAGGTCAGCGAGGTTTCTGACAGGAAGTCCGATCGTATCCCCCGCGCCTGGACTTTGGTGACGATGTGTTTGTGTCGTTTCTCCGTAGTGCAACAAGAAAGCGAAGCGTTCGGACATCGTCCTGCTGTACGCTCCGAAGCTGAGAGCGCTCGACAACTCGGAGCAGGAGAGCTTAAAGAAGTGAGTGACGAGTCCTCTGCTTCACTGTGTTCAATTCTGTATCAATAACACAACTGACCTTTCATTGATTGACCATCTAACCTCACACTGCTGTTAGAGACTTATTCAGGGGAGAGAGGATGGTGGAGCTGTATGCACTAACGTTAGTTTACCCGCTCCCTGACAGCTGTAACTTCACACCGACGCTGATACCGTCGTCTACGTTCTGTCGTTCACATATAAGATAAAAACTGGAGGCATCACGTATCAGGTTATCACACAACGATCAATCAGCCATGAGAGTGATCCCTCGCTCTTCGTCTAACAACATGAACAGCGTCTTCGTTTTCTTTCTAATCATTCACGGCGTTAATATGAACAGCTGCACATGTGCATTAATGTGAGTTCTGAGTTTAAAGTTTAAGTGTGTGTGTGTGTGTGTGTGTGTGTGTGTATGTCCAGGTCTCTGGAGCAGGAGCAGTCTCTGAGGAGGAAGGCTGAACTGGAATCAGCGCAGTACAAACTGAAACTGCAGGTCGTCACCAACAAATACGGACAAGCACAACAAGAGCTGCAGGTATCACCTCACCTCTGTTTGTTCTCCAGTGTCCTCAGACTGACAGTGGTTTCATTTAAATGTGTCTGTAGTTGTAATCCGACATCATTGTTGTCTTTATTGTTAATGTTTCCAACACTGAGCATTATAACGGGCATAATTTAGGATTTAAATGACTTTAAAATGAACATTTTCTTTACAGGTTAAAGCCCAGAGCAGGTCCTTTTTAGTACATTTTATTCTGATCCTAAAGGGATTCACCACTAGAATAATGATATTATATAGTATTATATATGTTATCTTATGCATTTAAAATATACAGAAAAAGTGACATTTGAAAGAATAATGGAATCATCATCAACCCGTCCATTATATAATATATACAAGTAAGTTTACAGCTTTTTACCATCACTGTCATTAATAATAATAATAATAAACATTCAATTATTAGGCGCCTCTCGGGCACTCGAGGACACCGTACAACACAAAAAAAAAACAGCAAGAAATAAGAAACAGATAAGAAAAGACAATGTAGATGGTTAAGTGGGGTAGGCAGTTCTGAATAGGTGAGTTTTTAATCTTGATTTGAAGAGTGTGAGAGAGTCCAGGTTCCTGAGGTCCGGTGGGGTGAGTTCCAGAGTTGGGGGCAGAGCGCTGAAAGCCCTGCTCCCCATGGTGACGAGGCGGGCAGGAGGGACAGAGGTGGACAGAGGAGGCAGATCTGAGGGAACGGGAAGGGTTGGTGATGTGGAGGGTTCGGACAGATAAGGAGGGAGAGGTTGTGGATGGCCTTGAACGTGAATAGGAGGATTTTGAAGTCAATGCGGAGTTTTACCGGGAGACAGTGGAGTTGCTGTAGAACAGGGGTGATGTGGTGGATGGAGGGGGTTCTGGTGATGATTCGAGCTGCAGAGTTCTGAACCAGTTGAAGTTTAATTAATGTAATCCTTCCTGTCTGCGCAGGAGCTGAGGGCTCTGATGGCCCAGGCTGGTAGAAGCTCTGTCTCCTCCTCTTCCTCCTCCTCCTCCTCCGCGTCGACCTCGCTCCTCCTCGGCCTGTCTCAGAGGGCCGACGGCTCCAGGACGGCCCAGTACGTGTTCTCCAAGGCGGTGCTGGTGTCTCAGGCCGGAGGCTCCAGGGTTTTATCGTACTGTGAACCTCTGAGCTGCCTGCTGGCCTCGCAGCCGTCCCCTCACTCCACGCTGGTGCCAGGTGAGACCAACCCTCCTCCTGAACCCGTCAGCAGAGCGGCCTGCAGGTGGCAGCGTTGTTCAGTCCATCAGTGCAGCACTGTGCTCCACAGACACATAGACAGACTTACAGTGTCCTCACATTACACCAACGTCCTACAAATATTTGCTCAGTTCCCCGTTCACTGGAAGTTAAGGGTGGGTATCGAGAACCGCTACCGAGCCGGAACTGGTTCCTGATTATAACTGAGTATTAAAACACGAGTAACATCCTGAACAAACAATCCTGCTGTTGGTGTTTGTGTAACCAGTTAACTAAAACTAACAGGGTTCCCACACATCCTGGAAACACCTGGAAATTAATAATAATCGCCAAATATCCTGGAAATAATTCACAGTATTTTAATCTGTGTGCTCTACTTAATTGGAATTAATGCTGACAGCTGTGTTTATGCTACTATTTGGTAAAATCAGCTGTTGTGCGAACAGCCAATGTGCCAAAAAAAAAGTGAGCTAACACGGAGTGTCACATAAATGCTGACCACTGTTTGTTCTGTCCTGTGTTGTCTAAAAAAACTGAGTATGAGTATCCTAGCAACTATTCTGAACCTATTAAATCTAACCTCAGACAAATATACATATTATAATCCAAAAAACTAACCAGTTGTAATCCCTCCTCTTCCTCCTCCTCCTCCTCCTCCTCCTCCAGGCTGCGGGGTGAAGAAGGTGAGCGTCGTCAACATGAAGGCGAGTCAGTACGTTCCCATCCACAGTAAACAGATCCGAGGTCTGTCCTTCAACAGACAGAACGACAGTCTGCTGCTGTCCGCTGCTCTGGACAACACCATCAAACTGACCAGGTACACACACACACACACACACACACACACACGTGTCGTACACTGTTTTTATGTGTGTGTGTTGTAATATGAGGTCTTCATTGTGTGTGTGTGTGTGTGTGTGTGTTGCAGTCTGCTGACCAACACGGTGGTTCAGACCTATAACGCAGGTAAACCCGTGTGGAGCTGCTGCTGGTGTTTGGACAACAGTAACTACGTCTACGCCGGTCTGAGCAACGGCTCCGTGCTCGTCTACGACACCAGAGACACCAGCACGCACGTACAGGAGCTGCAGCCGCTGCGCTCCAGGTACACACACACACACACACACACACACACACACAGATTGATTTACGTTACAGTTGGACAAAACTCTACGTTGTTGAACTCCTGATGTTTCCAGGTGTCCGGTGGCGTCCCTGTGCTACGTCCCGCGGGCGGCGTCCAGCTCCTTCCCCTGCGGCGGGCTGATCGCCGGCTCTCTGGAGGGCGGCTGTTTCTGGGAGCAGGTCAACGAGACCACGTACAGACCGCACATCCTGCCGCTGGAGACGGCCGGCTGCACCGACATCCAGGTGGAGACGGAGAGCCGACGCTGTCTGGTCACCTACAGGCCAGGTGAGAGCGCCGACCTACACGCCGGCGGCACTGTACGCCACAGAGGGCGAGGTGGTTTATTTATAAAGCACCATTAGTACACAAAGGTAGGGGCAAGGTG